CATCACATCACATCATAGTTAGTTAGTTAGCTAGCTCCTTTTGGCGAGAGTCTCTGAGTTGTCCAGGCTAAGAGGTCCTATGGAGAGCAGATGGAAGGCCAGAGTCAAATCCAGGCTGGTCCTGGACCTTTGAAGCCTGCTTGGCCTTAATTGGCCTTTACACTCAAAGTCTATAAAATGGTCTGAAAGGTACCAGGAAGAATGGGGAGAAGTCACAGGTTTCTCCTCAGGAGAAGAGACCTGGCAGCCCTTTCATTCTGGGTCACAGGAGGCCCAACTCTGAAGCTGCTAAGTGAGAAAGGGAAAGGACAAGATGGAAAGAGACCCCTCCCCTCCTTCAGATCCTTGCAGCTGCTGCTCCTTCCTCATCCTCTGGTGCTCCCTCCCCAAAAGTGAAGGGCGGGAGGGAGGCCCCCACCCACCCACACTCTACCTCCAGAGGGCTCCCGGCTGCATTCACACACTGCAAGGAGCCAGCATTTTCCCAACACACGAAACTTCCTGAGCTCCCATCTTGGCTGGCTTCCTCCATGCCTTCAGTACAGAAGCCGCCAGATCCTGCGCCTGGCTGACCCCAAGAGCTCTGCCTGCGGCTGCGTTCGCACCCGCGTATCCTGAACCCAAGCAGGCCGGATCTGCGCAAGAAGCCGAGCCGTCCAAAATAATCACCCCCGTTTAAAGGGACCAAGTTTCTCCTCCGGTCGCCAGCCGCCACAGGTAGCTACCACCCCTCGCCACCCGCTCCGGCTCCTGGGAGGCTCCCCAGCCTTGTCTTTACCGCGCCCTCCGGCCGGACCGGGAGCTGCCCGAAGGCGCCGCAGACAAGGCGCTTTCAGAGCCGAGTAGCCGCCGGGCGGGCTGCTGAAGCCACGTCAGTCCCCGAACTCGCCGCGGATCCTCCGCTTCCCTTCCCCGCCCCCTTCCTGGCCTTCTGGGGAAGCCGCGACTGGCGCGGCGCAACGGAGCCGGAGAGAACTGCGCGGGTCCGTCGCTGGACTCCCCCTCCCCCCTGCAATGGAGGATGGCCCCTCCCCGCTCCCCCTCCCCAATGGCCGATAGTTCACTCCAGTGCGCCCCCCCCATTTGTCCTGCTCAAGTTTCTGGCTCCCCTAGAGGAGCTTGAAAGCGGCCACAATCACTGCCAGCCACACAGGCCCGCCGGGTCTTGGAGGGGAGCCCAGCCAGGCATGGCGCACTGGTTGTGTGAAGCCAGGCCTGGGCAGAATCCACTCCAACCCGAGTCACAGATGATTTTTCTCCCTTCCCTGCAGCTGGAACTCAAACATCTGAATGAAGTCCAGCCACCAGTGCTTTTCCTACAGGAGCACATTGGACAACCCCCCCCCCTCTACTCTGCCATGGGACTCAGCAGAAGGCCTGGTCCCTGGTAATAAGCTGAATAGCCTTCCTCACCACTGCCAATTGACTTGACCAGAGGTCTCAATGGGATGATGACACGGGTCACCCCTGCCTCAAGTTCTCCCAACAGGTCAATTCTGCCCTGGCACAAAAGGGAGGGAGGGAGGGAGGGAGGGAGGGAGGGAGGGGGAGCAGAAGAGCCCTGGCACTGTGTGCAAAGAAGCCAACTTGGCTGGGAGGCTGGACTCTCCTTGGGAAAGGAGCACAGCTGGCTGGAGTTCAAGACAAACAGACCCACAAAAGTTTAACCGGCATCAATTTCTGTTTGAAAAAGAAAAATAGACAGATGAATCAACATTTCAGTAATTCATTGCGTAAGCAGAGTACTGAATCTGGATGCCCAACTGTCCAGCAGGGAGGAATGGAGGCAGATCATTCCCTGCTCCGGACCTTTCAGCCCAGTCCAATTGCCTCCAGCACAATCCCAGACCTCAGTAAGGAGAATCTCAGTCCTGCTTGCAAAGGGTGCAAAACGCCCCCCACCGCCCACAGGTTAATGTGAGCAGTAGAGCCAGCTAGGCAGATGCTCCCTACCCAGCATCCTTTGGGGCAGCCAGTGAGGAGCTTCACACAATGGCAACAACAATGGCTGCAAGGTACCTGATCCTTCCAGGACACCACAGCCTAACAGTCAATAGTCAGGGCCTTACAGCAGGGAGGCCAATCTCACTCAAGCTGTGGCAGGACAGCCCAGTGGGGGAAAAGTCAAACTCACTTAATTAGAATTATGTTAATGAAAGCTAAATATAATTACCATGTTCTGCCCAACAAAACATCATCCAGGGACAATTCTGCAGCCTCAGACCCTGGCCTCGGACATCTGCATAGGAGAAATTCCACAACCGAGCAGGCAAATTCCTTTTTGCCTCATCTGGATCAGAAATGCACACCTCTGTGATGGTCTCTGGTCCCTCAGATGCCAGTTGTGGGCTGGGGACCCTGAGTGGCTGGAGGAGACTCATCAGCCTCCCAGAGATTGTGAATCAGAGGCGCCAATGCAACAAGGCACCTCCATGGCTGTCAAAGAGTGCCCCAAATGGCACCTCTCGGGTGGCACCTGTCAGCCCAGGCATGGGGCACCTCTGCCCGATATGCTTTCCAGACTCCATTGGTTTTCTCACTCAACCAATTCTCCAGCTTGGATGTCAGCCTGAATCCTCCTATAATCGCAGAGTTTGTGATTAGCCGATCAGCTCTTGACAAACTAGGACAACAAACACAACCGTTCTATGTGGAGCTTCAGCGACAGAATCGCGGATTTCCACGATAAAACCGCCTTTCGCTCGCGCGGGAATCACTTCTTGCTTTCAAGGCGGAGAAGAGTCAACAAAGCCGGAGCGGCGGACGGGATTTCGACCTAATGAGTTGTTTACATGCCTGCTGAGCCCCAACCGCCGCCCCCCTCCCCCAACTCCGGAGAGCCTCTGCCTCACACCCACAACAGGAACAACACGCCCGCTGATGCTCGCAATTGTCAACAACACCTCCAGCCGCCTCCGGGCCTGGCCAGGCTCCGGCCTTCCTGCCCCGGGTTTTGGGGGCAGAGTTCGCGAACGAGCGGAAAGCGCTTTGGCCTCGGCCCTCCGAGGCGACGAGCCACGGCCTCCCTCGGCATCGCTGCCGAGCGCGGCCCCTTCCCGGCGGGTGTGCCTGGAACGCTCTTTTCCCCCAGCGCCCCTCTCAACGCCGACCCCCACCGAGAGGCCGGCACGCTGCCCCGCGGAGGAAGACCCGCTCATCCCCCGAGGAGCGCGCTTGGAGGCGGCGCCGAAGCCCGCGGGGCCTCGGGACTCCCGGCCGGCTTCGGGAAAAGGCGATCAGCGAAGTTCCACGAGGCCCCGGGAACAGAGCGGGGAGGGCGGCGGCCGGGAGCCGAGGGGCGACCGGGAGGCTCTCCCGAAAGTCCAAGCGGAGCCTCTCGAACCGCCCGGGAGGACCCTCGGCCGGGCCGGACTGAAAGGTCGCCCGCTACAGCCGAGAACGGGAGACCGAGAGGGGCGACCAGGAAGCTCCGGCTCTTCGGGTCACTTCGGCCTCCCGCCCGCGGGCTCGCCTTGCCGGCCACCGGCGGGAGTTGCAGACCCCCGTGACTTGTCGCCGCTCCCGGCAACTCGGACTGAGTCCGCACCGCGGCGAGGCGGCCTGGCGCCCGGCCGAAGCTTCCAGCCGCGCAGAGAAACGCTCGGGGCCGTGCAACTGGCCGCCGCCGCCGCCCCCCGGCCCGAGCCAGAGGCAACAGAGGCAGCCGCTGCCCGGGTGGCCGCCCCCAGCGCGCGGGCTCCCATTCCGCCAAGCCCTCCTCGGCCCGGAGGGAAAAGCAGCAACTCACCCAGCGGGAGGAAATGTTTGGTGTCCATGTCCGTGGTTTAACTCATGCCCAGCGGCTCGGCGTGGCGATCGGCGGCGGGAGGGCCCCGCTGCGGAGCCCGCCGAGCCAGAGGCGCAGGGAGGCGGATCCCGGGGCGGCCGGCTGGAAGGGCCCTTCCGCGTCTCTCCGCGTCGCGCTGGCGGATGGGGGGCCGGGACTCTCCTCCCCCCTCCTGCCGCGGCGGCTCCGGAGCCTCGCTCCCGGCCTCGCCTCCTCCTCGCAGGCAGCTGCGCCTTTCGAAACGCCACCGGAGGCAGAGCCGAGCCAAGCCAGTCCCGCGGGGTGTGCGCAACGCCGCGGCGGAGGGAGTTGGTAAAACTCGCCCAACAATGTAACTAAAGTACAGGACTTGTGTCGGTGCCTACGCGCGCGCCCGCTGGCGGGCCGGGAGCGAGCGAGGAGCCAGCCAGTGCGCGCGCGCGCCCGCCCCTCTCCGCTCGTTCGCTCTCTCTCTCTCCAGGAGCCGCAGAGCAAAGGGGCCCGGCGAAGGGGGAGTCCGACGGCCGACCGGCCACGGCGACGGGGCGGGGCGGGGCGCTGGGTTGTTCCCGGGCGGGGTTTCTCGGCGGTCCTCCCCGCGCGTCCAGAGGACTGGCTTTCCCGCACCGGCTGGGACGTCTCCGGGGTGGGCTGGTGGGCATCGGCCTCGGGTGCCAGTCGGAGAACGGAGGCTTGGTGGGGGAGGGAAGCGGCGTGGAAGCCGCGGGGGTCCCGGACCCTTCCTGCCCGCCATGGGCGAGGGGCGGGGGCGGCGGGTCCTCCACGGAAGGAAGCCGACTTGCCGGAGCCCTGCGGGTGCTGCGGACACCGGGGGGCGACCGCTTCCCCCCTCTCCGCACTGCTCCGGCCAACGGCCCGAGACCCGGTCTGGCGGCGGCGGCGGCTCTCGGTCGGCTTTGGCCTGTAAAGCGAAGCCGGATTGTCGGCTGCCGGCCGGCGCGAAACCCACGAACCGCTCGCAGCCCCGTGCCGGGAAGGCATCCGAGCTAGGCTGGCCTTGGTGTCGCCTCCGCAAACAGGGCAGGGGCGGCCGGACGGGAGCGCTCAACCACACAGAGGCTGAGCCGGAGGGGCGCCCGACCCCGGCCGACCATTGGCTGCCGGCAGGATGGACCGAAGGCCGTAGCATTATTCCCTCCACCCGCTTACTCCGAGCCGGGGGGGGGCGCCTCTCCTACGGCCCTCCAATGGCAGCGAGGGGGCGGGCCCAGCAGCGCGCGCGGCCCCCGTTTTGGGTTCGTGGAGGGGACGCGCGCGGCCTCGACGGCGGCGCTACCCTCGCTCGGCGGGAGAAGCCCACGGAGACGCGGGACGATGGAGCTGGCAAGCCGGGAACGGGACTGCTCCAAGGGGCCGCCGGCCAAGCAAGCGCTTCGTGTGAGCAGACGGAGTCGGGGGAAGAAGGAGACCCGTTTATACAACCATCTGCGAGAAACTTCGGGATCCCCCATCGCGATGGCCATGAGGTCCGCCCTCCTGTCAAGTGGGGACAGCCTGGTCAAAGTGGGGGGCGACCGCTTTCCCATTCGACCAGCCAGGCCTTTGTAGCTAAGAGACAGCCAAGATCACTTTGGACTGGACCCAAAAGCCACAGCCTCAGCACCAAAGGATGACAAGCTTCTGGGATGCCTCAGGGGCCACCCCATCTAGAGGCTGGGGCAATGGTCTAAGCATGGGACAATTGGGCCTTGTATCACTGTCACCAGATAGCCTGATCTGGGAAGGGCCATTGCCAGCCCAACACAGAAAGGGGCCTTAAATGAGTATGATTAGGACAGTGATGAAACCTCACTCCAACCCAGCAGACGAGCCTCTTGGAGCAATTGGTATAGATGTTAAAGAACACAGGGGAGTCCTCAGCTACCCCATATTAGAGCAACAAGGGGCCCCACTGCTGAGCCCTGAAATTGCCCACTCGCCCAAGAAAAAGCAGAGCCCTCATCAAGGGGGCTTTGTAACAAGCCTTTGTAAGACTGGGACCTTGAAGACCCAGGACATCATGGCTGGTGGTCCTGAAAACTACGCGGAGATTCACACTTCAATATCTTCTCCAGAATCCCCCTGAACAAATTGGAGATTAGAACATAGAATAATAGGAACAGATGACAAAGGTTTACACTGAATATAGAGAAGTCAGTAATCTATTGGGTTTATGATAGACACAATAGTCTCATCTGCAAAAAAATCTTTTGTTGATGTGCAATTTTAAAAACTGATCATTAACTGATTTAGATTTCATATGGATTTCTAAAGACCCAGTTGTGTTGTCCTTTCAGTTCATAATTCATGCTGGCACCATAGTACTTGTAAAATTCAGAGTTAGAAGAAATTGAAGGTCAGTAATGCTCACAAGGTAAATGGGATATATAAAGAATGAATAAAATTAACAGCTGCTTAATCTTACTATGCTATCTAACAAATGCCCTTTGAAAATTTGTTAATGTAAAAACTGTATTATCTCCTCCTGTTCAACATCTGTCTGAAAACTGTGGTGAGAGAAAGCTATTGCATTCACAGTGACATGGTCTGATTATGTCCCAGAGCAGGGTCTCCAATCTTGGCCACTTTAAGACCTGTGGACTTCAACTCCCAGAACTCAAAGGAATCTAAGTCCACAAGTCTTAAAGTTGCCAGAATTGGAGACCCCCCCCCCTCCCAGAAAACTAAATGAGGATTTCACTTGGGAAGGAGGACTTCTGCGGGAGAAATGAAAGCGGCCTTCCCACTCAGAAGGGCCAAGACCTTCTCAAGGCAGCCACAGAATCTGGCTCCGTGGGAATTGGATAGGAAGGCTGCTTTCTCGGCTGGGGTCATTTTTTCCTGGCAATGGCTGTAAATCCCTCACTGGTTGGCGCAGGAACAAATCCTTAATTAATATGGAGAAGGAAAAGCAAGGACCGGAAATGGCTGGTGTGACCGACCCAGAGGGCCACAGCACCAACCTTAAATCCTCCCAGAAATCCTCCCAGGACATGTGGCTGAAGCATTATATATAGGCGAAACGCAGCATGTATGAACATAAATATCTTTCTGTGCTGACAAACCTAGGAAAGCCGCTGCTGACTGAATGGAGCACCTTAGCAGTGCATCTGTAGGCTGCTGCTTTTCCAGTCCTCCATCTTCCCCTTCTCCAAAAACCAGGCAGGTCCTTTGAAGGAATCCCTGGCTCCTTCACACACAAAACTGGGTAGGAGAAAGTTGACATTTCTAAAAGAGTCTTTTCAGCTTCAACTCTTTGGATCAGGGATGGGGAAAGAAGAGGCTGGTGGTGTGATGTCAACGCCAGAGGAGGCTCCCCAGGGCCCTTCGCCTTGGAAATGGTGGCTGCTGAGTCTTCCTTTATCCATGCTTTCACAAGGCAGAAGGTCTCGTGAGGAACAGCCATTTTCTCACTTTATCTTCTGTTGTCAGCTCCTCTCCATTTATTAATTAGGAAAGAAAGACCATGAGACTCCATG